AGCCTTGCTACTGAGAGGGAGGTGCAGGCAACATTTTTTTTTCCAAAAAATTGCGGGGATTAAATTAAATTAAAATTTTCCCCTTCCTATGTGGGAGGTTGTTTTATTAGAGAATAAGAGGACTGAACCTCAGTTAGGACTGTGAGAAGAAGAGCATAGTTGCTTGCCTTCAGGAAAAGGCAGAGAGAGCCTAAGAGTAGATAAAGCCAGGAACTCTCTTTTCAGAGTTCCTTTATACTGAGTGTGCTAACTCTATACTGAGAATGTTGTTAAGCACCAGGTTTGGCAAAGGCTGGGCACCTGACTTCAGGAGTCCAGCCTTACTCTTTGGATTTTACTCCTCCTTTATGAAATTAAAAAACCCCAAACCAACAAACAAAAAAAACCCAACTCCTTTTCTGCTTTTCAGGGACACTGTGACAATGTTAATATAAACAGATAGATTAGAGATTCTCAGGATTGGATATGGAGGTAATGCCCTCATGCAAGTATTTTAAGATTTCAACCTACATCCTTGTATCCCAATGATCTCATTTACTTGGCCTTTGAGAATGTCTCTTTATAGGGAGAAGGAAGAGTATGAAAAGGAAAACGTCAACACACACACACACAAAACCTTCAGCCTCTTACATGGAAGATACAGTAACTATTCCAGTCCTGGTGTAATTGCTAGTGGTAGTAGTTAAGCTTTTATAATAAAAGCTTAAGAGTATGGGCATTATGTAATGCCCAATTCCAAAAGTATTTTATGTTATCTGATATCTCTTGTCATGTTTTTGATAAAGGTTGAGGCATTAGACAAATTTTTGAGAGACTACTTTGGTGTGGTTACCTTCAGAGGTGCCAGGAAACATCTATTAATTTTTTTTTTCTGGCTAATTTGCCTTAAAATACTTCATTTTGTTTCCCTGTAGCTGTGATGGCTATAATGTGCAAGAAAATAATTGGCACACTTGAAGGAGAATAAACAATAGCATTTTACTGTCCAGAAATTGTATTCCCTTCGGGAATTAAACCATGGGCTGGACACCAAGTCCCAGTTTGGACCTCTTGCAATTTGTCCCTGAAGTCTTTATTGAAATAAAAGGAAGTTGCACTAGTACTGACAGTGACAATCTAAATTCCAAGTAAGCTCTTAATAGTAAAATAAAAAAAGAGACCACAAAATATTTTTTCTAGTTGAAAGGCAGACACATGGAAGTCAGGGAATGCAGAATTGAGATGTTTTAAGCAGCATCAGTTTGGCCTCATTTGTGTCTGCATCTGTGTGATCTGAGACCTTTTTTTATAGCATTCTATCAGTTAAAGAGAACGGAGTGTACCTCATCTGTGTCAAGTAATTAAGTGTTTCTTGTAGAAAACTGGGACTAGAAAACTTTGAATTTTTATTTTGTCTTACCTGATTATACCTTCCAGGTATTAAAAATGCATTCTTAGTATTTCAATGAATGAAGATTTGTGAAATTCACTGGCGAAAGCCTGGAAATCAATATAACAAAAAGAAAACAAAACAAGACAAGAAAAATCTGAATGTTAATTTCCTCCCATTTTTTCAAAGTGTTATTTTTGAGAGCTTTGTCTTATGAATATCTACTCAGTGCTTCATCAGATCTAATCTCCTGATTCTACATGGACCTAATGTTATGTTAGACCATTTTATAAAGCCCATCAAAATCACTATCTCTACTGACAGGTAGAAAAACTTTAGAGAGATTATGTTTTCTCAGTCTCACCCAACACTTGACAAAAATGGGAATTCCATATTCTAAGTCCCAAGCTAATTTTCTGCATACTGAAGGTCATGAACTTATAATAAATATTTTTTTTAATCAAGAATTCGTGTAACATTTCATTTCACAATATACTGGACTGGAAATGGCCTGCTGTCTGTTTTTATACTTTGAAAGAATGTTTCCTATACAGTGTTCCATCTAAAAAGGCTGGAATTCAGTGTAATAAATAGCCAGTACTGTAAAAAAAGTAGGTGGAAGAAAATTTATTTTAATGTGACTCCGCGAAGAATATTTGACCAGCAGTGCTTAAACAGCAGCACTGATCTCATGCTTTGAAAAGCCAGGTAGATAGATTATTGTAGGAAGTTGTACCTGTGTGAGACTTAAGGTCTCTCCAACAGACTGCTCAATTATTAAATACCATGAGAGGGGCACATTCATGGCATTGAATATATTGCAATGCAGAGGATGCCTGTATGTACAACATATTGCAGTATGTTTCTGAAAGTGTGTTGCATACTAACAATGATTACATTAACTCTCACAGGCAAAGACAGCGAAAGTACTTGGAATAGTTCTGTAGCTTAACTTCGGTTCTATCACTGAATGTGAGCTTAGTTTCCCTGAGACATTTCTTCTTTTGTGAAGTACCAGTTCAGCTTCCTACAGTCGTGAAAACTGCCAGTGCCTAGACTGAATCCAGCAGATTCCATACACTCTATGTCACAGGACTCTTAAGGATACCAAGGAAACACTGTGAGCATGACGTACGGTGACCAGAAAGTGTGGTAGCCAGTAATAATCATGCTAGTGACAGGTAAAGTTAAAGTTAAACAAAAATTAAAAACCATGAGTCCCTTCAGGGCATTCTTATTTGCCATTCCCACATCTATAGAAAGGAGATTCATGTAAGCATAAAATCCAAACTTCAGCGTAAGAATCACCACTTACTTGACACTGCAAATTTTTTTAAAGATATGCATAGTTTTGCTTGGATTGCAGAGCTTGACCACTGCACTTCACCTGCAGACCACAGTGTGGGCCCAGGCAAGCCCACATGCGAGCTTGGGATCCAGGTACAACAAAACCACCTTCCCCAACCCTCATCTTTCCCACATCCAGCCATCTAGCAATTCCTACAGAAAGCATCTCTGCATGGGACTTAGCAGCTCTGCAAGGCTGGCTGTGGACACCCATTCCACAGCCCTGCTGCGAGGCTCTCCAAGTGGGCTAGTTTTGGCTGGGGTAGTTAATTTTCTTCACAGTGGCTGGTATGGGGCTGTGTTTTGGATTTGCACTGAACATGGGATTGATAATATAGAGATGTTTTTGTTATTGCTGAGCAGTGCTCACACAGAGCCAAGGCCTTTTAAGCTATATGTACTGCCATGCTGGCAAGGAAGTTGGGGGTGCATGGGAGGTTGGGAGAAGACACAGCTGGGACAGGTGATACCAACTGACCAAAGGGATATTCCACACCATATGACACCATGCTTAGTATAGAAAGTGGGGGGAAGAAGGAGGAAGGGGGAGATGTTTGGAGTGATGGTGTTTGTCTTCTCAAGTCAATGTGATGGGGCCTTGCTCTCCCTGAACACCTGTTTGCTCATGGGAAGTGGTGAATTAATTGCTTGGTTCATTTTGTTTGCATGTACGACTTTTGCATTCGCTGTTAAACTGTCTTTATCTCAACCTAAGAGTTTTCCAGATTTTACCGTTCCGATTCTTCCCCCGATCCCACTGGTGGAGGAGTGAGTGAGGGGCTGTGAGGCTTGTAGCTGCCTGGAGTTAAACCACAACACTGGGGCACTGTGGAGGGGCAGCAATCAGGCCTCCTATCTGCCCCCCTCACACCGGCAGCCCATAGGGAACCGAGGGAGGATTCACGTGATTCCCATATTAGCAAGAATCATAGAACGTTTAAGGGTTGGAAGGGATTTTAAAGATCATTTAGTCCCAGCCCACCCTGCCACAGGCAGGAACGCCTCCCACTAGATTGGTTGCTCAAGGCCCTATCCAACCCGGCCTTGAACACTGCCAAGGTTGGGGCATCCACAACCTCCCTAGGCAACCTCTTCCAGTATCTCACTACCCTCACAGTAAAGACTTTCTTCCTAATATCTAGACTAAATTTCCCCTCTTTCAGTTTGTACCCATTACTCCTTGTCCTATCACTACAGTTCCTGACGAAGAGTCCCCCTCTAGCTTCCCTGTAGGCCCCTTCAGATACTGGAAGGTTGCTATGAGGTCGCCACACAACTTTCTCTTCTCCAGGCTGAACAGTCCCAGCTTTCTCAGCCTGCTTTTACAGAGGAGATACTCCAGTCCTCTTATCAACTTCATGGCCCTCCTCTAGACTTGCCTCAACAGTTCCATGTCCTCCTTATCTTGGAGGCCCTAGAGCTGGATGCCGTGCTCCAGGTAGGGTCTCCTCAGAGTAGAGTAGAGGGGAGAATCACCTCCTTTGACCTGCTGGCCACGCTGCTTTTGATGCAGCCCAGGACTGGACTGGCTTTCTGGGCTGCGAGCGCAAACCGCTGGCTCATGCTGAGTTTTCATCAACCATCACCTGTAGGGTTATAATCACTCCCAAGTCTTTCTCTGCAAAGCTTGTCTCACTTCTCTGCCCAGCCTGTTGGTATGTCTGGGATTGCCCTGACCCAAGTGCAGGACCTTGCATATGGTCTTATTGAACTTCATGAGGTTCACATGGCCCCACCTCTCAAGCCTATCCAGGTCCCTCTGGATGGCATCCCCTCCTACCAGCATGTCAACTGCACCACACAGCTTGGTGTCACCAGCAAATTTGCCGAGAGTGCACTTTATCCCGCTGTCCACGTCGCCAACAAAGATGCTGAACAGTGTTGAGCCCAGTACCGACCCCTGAGGGACACCACTCGTCACTGGTCTCCATGTGGACAATGAGTCGGCGACCACAAACGCTACACCCAGGCAGCGAGGCCCTCGACTGGGCAGGAAAACAGCCCTCCCGCTCCACGCCAAACCACCGCTCCCCGGCCAAGCCCCTCCGCAGTGCCTGCAGGGCTGTGTGAGGGGCCGGCGGGGCTGTCAGGGCTGTGTGAGGGGTCAGAGGGTCGCCCCGCGGGCGGTGCCATGTGCCGCAGAGGGGGCGCGATAACCCCCCCGCCCCTCTCGCCAACCACCCCGTGGTACCACCCGCCCGCGTCGCCTGACCACCTCCTGCTTGTCTGCGCATGCGCGCCCGCTGTCCCCGTGCCCGCCCCCGCCCGGCCACTGGGCTGTGCGCCTGCGCGCCGGCTCCTGCGTCAGCGTCGCGCGCCGTAGGGGCGCGCGGGGCTGAGCCGCGTGCGGGCCGCCGCCATGACTTCCGCGCTGGAGAACTACATCAACCGTATCTGCCGCGGGGCACGGACGGGGGGGACCCGCTCGCCCGGCCTCCCGCTCCTGCGCGGCCGCGGGGGCGGGACGGGACGGGACGGGACGGGACGGAAGGGGAGCCTGGCGGCGCGGGGCCCTGAGGGCGGGGCTGGTGGCGGCAGCACGGTTGTGTTGCTTGGGCCCTTCCCGGCTGGGGGTGTCAGTTTCTCCATAAGAGAGATCGGCTTGGCAGGCAGAGCGGAGGTTACAGGAGGTCACTCGGAGAACAGGGTCCCCCAACAGCACCCAGTGTTGCAGAGCGCAGCGTTGCACGATCCGTGGTGAAGAGCGAGATTCGCAGTGGGCCTGCCCCCCTTAAGAGCTCCTAACGCGCCTTTAGTTACCAGCTTTGCATCACTTGTTCAAAACCCGGGACTTGGGGTTCTTGGAACGCTTTTCGTGCTGTTTTTTTGTGCTTCTTGTAACCCATGGGCATTTTCAGTTTTATTCCCAAACAATAAGATAGTAACCCGGAATTATTCAGGATGATGGATATGTGGTCACCAAATTGGGATAATGAGATATTATGGAGATGGAGAATGCTAGGCCCGGGACCACCCCTGCAGAGCAGTTTTTTAAGGACTTAAAGTGTTTATAAAACTGTTTATGTTTTTGCAATTTTGAGGCAATGCAGTTAGTAATGGGAAGAGAGGTGAACTCAGATCTTTATTTTTCTTTTAATGGTGTCCATGTTTGTGTATTATTGTCCATGGTTAGGTGAAGTGAAACTTTAAAGGAGATTTTCATAAAAATCCTATGTTGTCAATTGCTGCTATTAACCATGCTGCTTTAAAAAAATGCTGATAGGCTTTTCTGGCTCCTAATGGCTCTTAAAACCTATATTACATATGAATGTGTCAGAAAATCGTAATAGTTTTATTTCAGATATCATTAAACATTTCCTTAATGAGCTACCAGGTACTGTTGCAGTAATTACTTCTGATGGAAGAATGATTGTGGTAAGACTTGTATTTTTTAACATTTTATTTTCCCCCATAAAGACTTTCCATTATGGCAATAAAGAAGCTGTGTTAGGATATTCTCACTGACATATTCACTCCTTTAAATCATAGAGTACAGAATAATAAGGCTTAAAAAAAATGTTGTAAATGCTTACTGATTCTTGCATGTCAGCTTTGTCCATTGATAAATTTCTGCATACACATGCTTTGACTTTTTTGTCAAATTAATTTTTCTGTGGAAATGCACAAGAAAACGCATTTCTGTTCAGTAATTTGGTTTTCATCTAAAATGTCCTCTTTGTTCTGTAAGCCTTTCAGCTTTCATGGTAGAACCATTTCTTCCATGTGGTTATAAGTATTGGCTGGAGAATTGCTGGATAATTGCTGTTTATGCCTGAAAACCTGAGGATTGGCCAACTTATATATTAGACTGTATAATATTTTGGGTTTATTGCTTCTGTGTTTTGAAGTTTTTTTCTTGCATCACTTCCGCCCCCCCCACCTTTTTGCGTATGTGTTTTGAGTGTAACCTAACAGTGTGATTGTTGCATGAGGATTGTATCTTTCTTTCTGTACTTAGCTTCATGCAGCCTCTGGAAAAACAGAAAAACTACTGGCTTCACCAAATCTGTGTGGCTGAAGTTAGTCTGATAAACTTTGTGTTGTGCTACAAGATACTTTGTACAAAAAAGATTTGAATGGAGTTGGTATACATGACTCATTGCTATGTGGTTAGATGATATAAATGAATATTAGCATGATAATTTACTAAACACAAGATAATTTACTTCAGAGATACCACTTAAAATTGCTTATTTGGAATGGTTTCAATATTGTTGACCACAAGAATCCAATTTTTCTGTTCTTTGTTTTAGTTAAATATTTGATTTCTGGAAACATCCATACAAGGAAGACTAAAACAGTTTAAAAACAGTAAAATTATGTTTGTAGAGGACCGTCACTGATACAAGGGAAACTTTACTTCTTTTAATACTAAAGACTATTTTAGCTTTCAGCATGAACACTCAGTAATAAATGTGTACTTTTCTTAAATTGATTATTGCTTTGAAAATTACTTTCTTTAGCTATTTGTGTTTAAGCCAAACAATAAAACCTAAATAGAATATCTATTCTCTAGTACCTCAGTTTTGCTACCTTGTTTAAGATATCTTTGAGAGCAAAGCTGATAAATTTAAGAGTTAACTGGAGTGCTTTATTTTTGTATGTTGTTTTCAGGGAACACTTAAAGGTTTTGATCAGACCATTAACTTGATTTTGGATGAAAGCCATGAACGAGTGTTCAGTTCTTCACAAGGAGTTGAGCAAGTAGTGCTGGGATTATACATTGTAAGAGGTGATAACGTGTAAGTATAGCATGTCCTTGTTTAAATCTGTTCATATGAACTTAGTATGTATGTGTGCATGTGTTCGTGTATATATATATATGTATATTATCTGTATAAATCTTGATAGCCCCAGACACCTTGCACCTTTGTATCTGTGTGTAGCACTGTACTGTCAAAGTATTGTCAAAGCTGAGGCAACCAAGGAAGTGTCTGAGTCACCATCCCTGGAGATATTTAAAAATGTGTAAAAGTGGCACTTAGGGTCTGGGTTTAGTGGTAGGCTTGGCAATATGGGTTGATCTTATGGGTCTTTTCAGACCTGTATGACTCTGATTGTGTATTAAATAGCAATCATCTACATTTACGTTACAGAAGTGATTGCATTGTAATGTTAAGTGTGGTTTTAAACTGAGAGAGGAGAGATTGAGATTAGATGTTAGAAAGAAATTCTTTACTCAGAAGGTGCTGAGACACAGGAACAGGTTACCCAGAGAAGTTGTGGATGCCTCATCTCTGGAAGTGGTCAATGCCAGGTTGGATGGAGCTCTGATCTAGTGGGTCACATCCCTACCCTTGGCAGGGGGTGGGGGTGTTGAAACTACATGATCTTTAAGGCCCCTTCCAGCCCAAGCCTTTCTATGATTCTGTGATCTCCTTAGTCTGTATTTACTGAGCTGTGAATTAACCAGCACATTCTGATTAGCAATCTAGGAAGGGTCAGTACAAAGTTCAGCATGTTCCTCTTTGGAGTGTAGGCATTGTGTAGATGTTCTTTTTTCCAGTTAATGATGCTTGATGAAGGAAAAAATAGAATAATGGCTTAAATATGAGATAAAACTTGTGTGCAAAAAGTCAGCAATCTGGTGTACAAAGTCGACTTTCAACAGCTTTTATTTAGAAGAGGTGTTCACAGAGACCACGTCATGATCTGGAAAATGCATGAAGGTTCTGGCTTGACAGTGTAACAACTGTTGAAGCTGATGTAGTGACAGGTCAAATGTATGAGTTGATACTTGATGTAAAATACACTTAAAAAATGAGAGTAAAAGCTCAATGAATGCAGAGAAAAGTAGCTGATGTGCCCAACACATGGGAGGGTTACAAGAGAAGTGGAAAGAAAGCCTGGTAAGTGGGCCTGCTAGGAAGATTACTTTTGCAGCAGCATTCTGAAACTGATGGCAAAAAATAATATTCTTTTTTAATCACAACTAGAAAAAGAGTATGTTGCAGTGAGCAACACGTCAGCCTGGATAGGAGTTTTCATCTTCTAATTCTAATGGATATTTCTGTACAAAGAAATGTCAAGAGTTAAAATTATATGTAGGTGCATTTATGTAACATCGTTGAGACATTTTGGAATGCTTTCATCACATTTGACTTAAGCTTTTAAGAAAAAGTAAATTGACACATGTGCAAAGGTAGGACTAAGCATGCTACTCTACCAGTAACTTTTCATTCACATACTATAAATGTGTATAAAAAGCCAAATAATTGTTTACTGCTTTACTCTTTCATCATACCAGACGGCCACATTACTCAAGTATACTCAAAATATTCTTTTATAGAATTTATTCTAATTTTTTTGCAAACTTAACAAACTTGGAAACATACTCATTACAAGGAATAATTTGGTATTCTTGCAACTCTTAACATACTGAAATTTAATATTCTTATAGGAAGAAGTAAAAAGAATCAACGGCTAAGTAACAGTAACTTCAAAATAGGCGACTCTCATAAAATAGGGAAGGTATTGGAAAATAAAAGGGAAGAAGCGGTCATAATATAAAGTGCTTCCAGACATTCCAGTGTGCATCACTAGATGCTTGCAGGGAACATGCAGCATCAGTCAGAAAAAGTCAATATGATTAACAACAAATAAGGGTTGTTAAAAGGAAAAAGGCAGCTTCTGTTTTAGAAGTATGTGATTAAGAAATAATAACCTCTTTTTTTTATTGTAGTGCTGTCATTGGTGAAATTGATGAAGAGACGGATTCAGCTCTTGACTTGGGCAATATTCGAGCAGAACCCCTAAACTCAGTTGTGCACTGAAAAATGCACAGGGACTTTGTAAATCTTTGGTTGTACAGACCTATTTAACAACGTGGACAGTTTTTACAAATTGTGTTTAATTTGTTTAGACACCAATTTTTTATTATGAATATGTTGTAGTTTTGCATGTAAATTAAAGTTTCTGCATTTTACTAAGGATACTTTCATTGGGTTTCCTTTGGGTTTTTATGCTGCATGAGTCACTGGGAAATGCATGCTGGTAAAAACAATCGGTATCAGTGATGGTCCTGATACTGTGTAAATATACCTTGTTCTTAAAATAACATCTCACTCCTAAAGTTAAACCAAGCTCTGTCCTGTTAACCCAGGATTATGTGGAGGTAGATGTGTAATAGTCAGTTTAAGCATCTCTAAGTGTAGTTCTGGCTATAAGTAGAAAACTGTTCCTTGTGATTGGTTTTGTGTGTGTGTGTGTGTGTGTGTGTGTTTAGTGTAGAAAGAAAGAATGTTGAAAGCTTTCACAGTCAAATTAATGGCTTATTCATATAATACATTTTTTGTTGTTTATCAGAGATTGTTCTCTAGTCCCCAAGACTATACTGGAGGTACAGGAGTTCTTAATGCCTTAATCCTTGCAGACATTAAATTGGAGAAAGAACGACTTTTGAGCAGGAGCACAAAACTTTAAACAAATACATACATTTATTTGAAGCCCATTAAGAGAATGAGATCAACTCATTCTCTGTCTTCACCTTTCAGCAGCTGTCATGTTGCTCAAAATGTGGGTAAGATCTACAGAAGGAGAATTGTGTGTTTGCTAATGTCTAACCATTATCTTAGAGTGTAGTTTAGAACACACTGGAGTACTTTTGGTAGGTAAGTTATTTATTTTCAACAAAACTTGCTGCAATATTGAATATAAGGGTCCCATGTAATCACGATCACATGCAGGCCTCTCATACACCAGCAACAGCCAAATTAAGTGGGACAAGCTCTGTGCAGTGTAGCATGTTTTAGGCCACATACTATTGACTACCCAGCAGAAATGCCGGTATGGTGGCAGCAAGAGGAAGTCGGTACTATTGAACAAAGCTGTTTTCTGTGTCCTTGAGTGTGCCAATGGGCCTAATATTTTTTTCCCTCTAAAAATGTGCTGTCAAAAAAAAAAATTTAATGTGCAAGTTTGAGGAGTTTATACTGATTTTAATATTAAGTGGGATTCGGTACTTTTCATTGCAAGTTCGTTGGAAACCAAATACATTGAACTGAAAATATTTGTTCTTCATAAAATCTGTCTCTCAGTTCTTGTAGCTTCCAGCTTGTTTTCTGAGATTCTTCTTGATGAAGCATGTGAAGCCCTGCTAACCTTTTTTCGTATTTATCCATCTTGTGATCTAGTAATGTGTTGTAGTCTTCTGTCCACATTTCTGCAGGGAATTGCTGAGGAGACATCAAATCAGGCAAATCGGGGGTTTTCTCTGATTACCGGAAGTCAGTAGAATATGGCTATAATTAGTTAAATCAAAAGAATCAATCAGTTTCATTAAACACTCAACAAAAAAGCCCTTTTGCAACTGAAATGCTGATATTAGCCAGCAATGTAAAGTTTTTCAGAGTTGTGATTTTTGGCTTATGTTCACGTTTTGTTTCAATTTCTGCTCCAACATTTCCTTCAATTTGATGCCATTGGTTTTGGTCTGGATTTGACCAAAGCCTCTTCTGGACATACTGGTGAAGGGATCAAGGCCAGCAGACATAGTCAGAAGGGGTTTATTGAAATCAAATATAGAACTTGATATGCTTTTTAAAATTATAACATGCAATTAAAGCCTTGTGAACTTACAGGGTCTTTAATCTGTGGGGGCTAACTGGGTCCCTGTAAGTATATGGTTCAGAGAAACACTCAATAAAACAGTATTTCATGCAGGAAGTTGAGTTATAACCAGAGTATTTTCATTATTTCAGTATTTCATTTAATCAAGCGTGTAGCACCGTCCAAGCTGGAAAACAGGTCACCAATGAGAGTAACTTTTTTATGTCATTATTTTCATAAATGAATCAAAGTAGGAAAAATTAGTGGGATTGAAACCAGAAAGTGGACATAAGAGTGATGGCCTAGTATTAGTAATTCTGAAAAAGAAAGCTAGAGAATGTTAGTCCCCAGCAAGGGAAGAGGAAGAGGAAGAGTAGAGTGGAAGCTCAGCATGTGTGAAGCCTCTGTACGCATCTTGACAGCGGGGGAACTACGAATGTGAGTCATGCCTATGAAACACAAGATGATTTATGCTTGCTAATTATATTTGGTCTATGATACATTTTGGCACCTGTGTAAACAACCCTACTAATTTTTAATAATTGGGTTCTTATTTCTGCTTTACAGTTGGGTAAACTGCAGTTTATTCTTAGAATAATGAAAATAAGTCTGTGGATTTTTTTTTCAAAGTGGAAAAGTTCTTCAGTTGCAGTAAAGATCCAGAAAAGCTGTGTCATATCAATTAGTTTTAGCTTCTCTGTTGCTCAAGTAATAAGGCATACTTCAAGTACCATACTTCACAGACAAACAACAGTGAAATCCAGATGTGCCAGAAGGTCATAGATCAAACCTTGAGATGAGAGAGGGAAAACTTGTACCAGACGTAGCAAAAAAAACATATGACAGAAGATAGTAAAGAGTCAGATGTTTGTCCTGGAAATCCTGTTCCTGATAGGCTCTTTCAGTGTGCTCTGTTTTGTCTTAGGGTCCCTTTCAGGGGCCTTTTTTTTACAGTAATTTTTACCCTAATGGCAGAAATGGTGATATTTCTTACATCAGCAGCATTTTCCTTGAAGAAAATAAAAACTCCACTGACGCAGGTGGAAATCAAAGCCAAAAACACAATAGCATTCAGACTTTTGCCAAGAACTCCTTACTAGCACTAAAAGCAAGACCTTATCTGCACGGTAATATCTTCCTTCCTGGAGCCTTGCAGCACGTTCCAGGAACTCAAACTTGCGTAGAACAACGTGCTGCTGCTTTTCAACCTTAAATCAGTAACCATCAGTGCCACTGAATGCCAAAAAATTTCACTCAATGCTCAACTTCTTTCCTGCTACTTGCAATTTTAGATAAAAGGTGTTCATTACTTTATGGAGTGTAAGAACATGTGCATGTACTGGTTTTGTCCACTGAAACATCTTTAATGGTTGTCCTGAAATCTTCTTGTTGTTTTGTACTCTAGATTTATTGTATTTTTAATTTAGTGTTGAAGTCAGCAGTGGTGATTACAGTGCTCTGCATAGAAACAGGAGTGAAAAGTGTTCAGGTGGAGAAATAAAAGAAACTGGATTTTAAGTAGCATAATCCATAAAAAATAGAAATAAGCAGGATAGAAACCTGTTGAATATGAACAAAGTTGGGCTTTACAGCAGTGGTCATTGTTGTAAAATTCCCTTTAACACAGATACAGATGTTATATCTGTGCACATCACTCATGAGAAATACTGAGAATGTGTGAGAAAACATTCACGGAAATATTTTAAGGCATATGGAAGCTTCCTATCCTAAAATGCTACTTTTTCATTACGGTTCTTGCTTTGTATTTTTGTGCTTAAATATTTGGGAAGTCTCACTTGTGTAATTTCAGACTTCAAGTCTGCTTATGATGCAGATGGAAACCTGTATGCAGATGAATGCTGTGATGTTTCTGCAGCCTGGTCAGAACTGCTGGTGGTGTATGGCTGGGATCTGCAGCATCAGCATTGACGAACATGTAGGTGATGTAGTGTCCTTGGATACAGGGGATAGATTGTCAAAATTGTATTCAAAGCAACATGCATGCAAGAGACCAGGAAAAACATGTAGCAATAACCCCCCTTGCTATCTATAGCCATCTCAAACTCAGTTTATAGCATTTCCAATTAATCAAACCATTTCTTGCCAACTGCCACCTAAATACCGCTGCATTTATACCATTTCATACATTCAGACCGCTCTGTTTTGCAGTGAGTTACTGGACTGAACAGAAGCCAAGGCAGGAAGTGATTATGGCTAAGGAGCTGATGCTGACTGAAAATGCGTGATGCTGCAGAGGAAATATCACACAATAGAACCACAGTTAGTTTGGAAATAGATTTAAAGAACAGAGCACATTCGGATGTAAACAGTCAATAGGACTGGGGCCAGCCTTTCTCCTAACAATCACATCATTAGAAGTAGAACCGTGCAGAATGATTTCTATGATTAAATTGCAAGTGCGAAATCCATGAAAGTGTGTGCTCATTAATGTTTAACGGAAACAGCCTTCTTGCTTTTTGCCATGTTTCTTCTCTGGGTTGTCCTAACTCATCCTGGATACAAGAGTCAGGCATAAGTCCAGCTGAAATCTAGGAAGTGCATATGGCTCAAGGACTTGGAAAAGATAGGCTTAGATTCTTTTTTGTAACTATAATAGGGTAGGATCACTCTCTGGAATTGCACTTTTGATTTACAAGATTGCTTCCATGAAAAGTCATCAGCTCACATTTAATTAAAATTGTTAGGATCCAAGTGGAAACAGTCTCTGATGAGAAATGGAACAGAGTTAGTGATTGTTATCATTTAAGTGATGATTGTTATGTGGGTGAAGGGGACGGCTCCCTGATTTGTCTAGAGCCTACTTTAACTTCTTGCATTGTTTGTAACATCCATCAAGTAATTTTGAGTTTTATGCTCTAACTTCTGATTCCACCATTTTATGGAAGTCCAGCCAGTACAGAAAGCAGTAAGAAAGACAAGCATTAGTATGTTTGTATGTATTAATTTCATTCGTGAAAAAGACATTTACAATGCTTTACAACCACACTGTATGTGCAAGTAGTTTTGAGTTTGGTTCTAATTATGCTTTTTCTGAGTTTCAACATCATTGTCAATGCCAGCAGAATTGCCCTTAGCTAAAAGGGGCAGGTTACCTTACTGCTAATGCTACACTTCAACACAAGTGTGCCCTGAGCAATGCCCTTCATCATCTTGGGCCTTAAAGCAGCTGAGCATTATTTATGAAAGTACTGAAGCTTCCATGTTCTCTGCCATGGACCACCTGAGCCTTAGTAACTTAACGAAGCAAGAAACTTCTCAGATGACAAAGGTCCTACTACAGCACCAAGAAAGGCTTTATCAGTGAAGATAATCTAGACATAAAGAAGTTTACCACATAAGTGGCAAAAGCCACTGAGCCATC